TAAGGGGTTCGCATAGACATAAAAACTAACCTAAAAGAAGATTTTTGAGATGTCACATTCAACCTAAGAAAAGAGTCTAAATATATTTTCGACAATATTCACATACACAGCAAAAAAAAAGCCAACAGGATAAGAACAATCGTATGGTTCAGACCACTCTACAACAAAAACGTAAAAACAAACGTAGGGAAAATACTCATTAAACTCATAAACAAACACTCCCGCAGCAAGTACGCTACACAAAATATTCAACAAATCACAGTAAAAATCAGATACAGTTGCACCGAGAACATGGTACAAATAAGAAAAAAGCACAACAGAAACCACCCACACAAATCAAACCCACGTCTAACAGAAGAACAAAGAATTAATGCCCCTTACAAGAAAATTGTTTACAAAACAATATAATATATCAAACCACTGTAAAATCAACAGATAATGAAGTAAAAGTATACATAGCAATAACTGAAGGACCCTGAAAATAGAGAAACTACGAACACCCTTTACAAATAGTAAATACATGAACAGCACAATGCTTTCTCAATGTATATGTATACGAAATTAAAAACGAAAACCAAATCACACCCAAAATATCATGTAAAATTAGGAAAACAACGTCAGCTGCAACAATAAATCAAAAATCTATAAATTCTGTCTAGAGGAGAAAATAGCTATAAGTACCTTCCGAGACGAACACAAATTATTAAACAAGCGATCAGAACTAATCTCACAATGCAGACACAAACAAATTATTACGACATTACTTAAAAATCGAAAACTAAAAACGAATACGGAAAAAAATAAGTAAAATAAAATAAACAAAAAAGCTAAATCAATAAGTAAATTAAGTACTATGAATATACTCATAAACACAAATAGGTGTAATAATATTAATCAACAACAAATAATAAAGTAATCAATAATGAATAATAAAAAAGTTAACAAACAACGCTCTAAAAGTAGCTTCGAATAACTGAATTGGGAATTAAAACTAAATTGGGATTCCATAATTAGGACACCCAATTACCGTTAGGATAACACAACAGATCTACCCATAAATTGATCAATCTAAAATAATTTGAATTACATTTAAACCGAAACAGGACGCCGCTGAGTGTTGAATTACCTTTTACATATATATATATATGTATATATATAACAGATCTACCCATAATTCATTCCCCTCATATTGAAAAATACATATAAATGAATTACGATTTAAATTATTAAAACTAAACAGATTTCAGATATCAAGCTGAGTGTTGTTGCGGGGCCGAGTAGGATATCGCCCCGCAAGGTTTTCAATATATGACTTGAACAGCCAAGACAATACGGGACAAAGGCAAAGGTTTTTGTTATGAACAAAAGTGTCGTTTTTATTATGAAAACTGGTTAATCGACGAACGTAGCTGGTTCGGTCGATTGTGCTGGTCTGGTCCGGTGTTGGGTTTATAGGCGAACGTAGTTGGTTCGGTTAGCTGGTTCCGAATGTAGTTGGTCTGGCCTGGTAGTTTAGGGATTGGTAAAAAGCTGGTCTGGATATGGCCCGGTAGTTTAATTGGTCGGCGAACGTAGTTGGTTACGGAGTCCCTAAACAGGGCCAAGGCAGACTAGTGATGCTATATAGGGCGGACCGACCGCGGGAACGGGATCGCGCCAAAGTGTATCACCAGGCGAAGACGTCCCTAAACAGGGCCAAGGCAGACCAGTGATGCTACTTCACGGGGCGGATCGACCGCGGAACGGATCGCGCCAAATTATCACCAGGCGAAGACGGAGTCCCTAAACAGGGCCAAGGCAGACCATTCACGGGGCGGATCGACCGCAGGGAACGGGATCGCGCCAAAGTGTATCACCAGGGCCAAGGCAGACCAGTGAATTGAGGGCGGATCGACCGCGGAACGGGATCGCGCCAAAGTGTATCACCAGGCGAAGACGGAGTCCCTAAAAGGGCCAAGGCAGACCAGTGATGCTACTTCACGGGGCGGATCGACCGCGGGAACGGGAAAAAAAGTGTATCACCAGGCGAAGACGGAGTCCCTAAACAGGGCCAAGGCAGACCAGTGATGCTACTTCACAGGGCGGATCGACCGCGGAAACGGATTGTATCACCAGGCGAGGTAGGTCAGAGAGGTGTTACACTTTCCAGGGCGGATCGACCGTGGAGACGGATCAAGTAACACTCTCGACAAAAAGCACCGGAAGTTCACAAAGGTAGTGTACTACACTTTGAAGCTGCCTAGTTTGGGCGAAAAAAGTGTCTAAGGATATTTGCAAAGATTTGTTCAAGTACTCCCTGGCTAGAGGAGAAGGCCGTAGATAATAAATTATAGTCTATGGTTGCCGATGTTTAGAATGGCTCAGCATAGTCAGATGCGTACTAGGTATGGTTTGACATCAACGATATTGGACTAGCCGTCCGGTTTCTGGCCTGTTGCTTGACCTAGAAGAGTTGTGAAGGTCAAGGTCGGCTTTGTAAGGAGCGGATAATCGGCGACCGCGACAGTGTCTTGTCCACGAGGGAATTGAAATTTGAATTGAAGTCACCAAAACGTCAGAAGGAACGAAAAAAAAAAAAAAATGAGGAACATTTCTGAGCGAGAATTTGTTCCAACACGCATCTGTCCAGTGTGCAGTCAAGTTCTTCTCTCCAGAGAAAGTCTTGTTAATTATATGAAGCGTCACAGTCAGCAAAATGGGCAGGGAAGATTGCCTGAAATTAACCAACAGCTAAACATAACATGCTCTCTCTCTCTCTCTCTCTCTCTCTCTCTCTCTCTCTCTCTCTGTGTGTGTGTGTGTGTGTGTGTGTGTGTGTGTGTGTGTGTGTGTGTGTGTGTGCATTTAATGCCAAATCATATACTGGCTTGAAAAGTATCTTCATTAACAAAATAGTAACATTCCACCCAGTGATAACACCGAACATGTATGCCATATTTGCCAATTTGTTGCCAAAACAAATTCAGGTTTAGAAAGCTCATAAAAGAACTGCACAACAGGTAATTTAAAATATTGGTCATTCTCAAGATAGTGTCATTATATTAACAGCAAAAATTGTAAATTATGCTTAGAGGAAAAATTAGCAATAATTAATTTTTAAAAACCAAAATAAACTCTTAAACAAAAAACTGAAATAATGGGCAAATGTAGACATATAAATAAACATTTACTTTTCCATCTAAGTACTAACTAAAAACAAACAAATAAATGAAATAACTATAAACTTAAAAAATATGTACAATACAAACTTTAAATAAAAGAAGCAAATATAACATGAATTTAATTTATTAATAAACAAATAAACGAACAAATATTAAAGTACGCACATATACACACACGTATATGTACATGTGGATACACAAAAACACCAAAAGATGAACAAACCTAACCCACCATGATTAATACATCAATAACACCAAGACAAAAACAAATAAACTAGTAAAGGTTAAATAAAAATAAAAATTAAACATTAAATAAACGATAAATAATAACAGTTGATATAAACATGGACTTATTTTAATTACATACACAATTGAACAATTATATATACGTGTGTGTGTGCAGCGTGAGTCGGTGAGTGTGTAGATGTGCGGGAGTGTGTATATATATATATATATATATATATATATATATATATACAACAATATACATCCTTTTCTTTGACTGGTCATAGTTTCTCCTCCAGTATGTAGGATTACCCCATTTTCTTTGCCGAAAGATTTAACACTGGTAGATGACATTTTATCCAGGGATATAAAAAGGGACATAACTTTATCTCTCTCTTTCTCTTCTTTTTCTTCCTTTCCGGGGAGGTTGTCTCAGTACATGCCAACTGCTTAATTTCACACAACTAAGTGAGACGCGCGCTACAGCTAAGCACATAAATGCTTTTCTTTCCTTTTTCAACAACATACAAGTGTATATAATTTCATTATTTCCCTTCTTTATGAGAGAAATTGTTTCTTTGTATAAATATATAAGAAAAATCCTTTATGTGTTGAATGTATTTATTCTGAAAATTCTGAACCTCTTCTCATCACAAATGTTAACCACAGTCCCCGCCCCTCGCAGCAAGGGTTTGGCTTCATGTTTATGTGATACATGTTTATATGATACATGTTTATATGATACATGCAGACTGCAGTGTAAGCAAAAAGTCTGGGGAAAATTTTGGCTGAAAAAATGCTTTAAAATGTTTTAGCAATGTTTCTTGAAAATATTATTTCGATGTTTACAGAATTACTAATGGATTTAACTAATTGTAATTTTATCTCGTGTTAGCCATGCATACGTTCTATTCAATATGTATAAATATGTAAAGCATTAATTTGTTTTATTAAAGTTTTTAAGCTACCACAAATTTTACCTCAGAATTAACATTAATATTTGGTAAGAAGAATGCCTGTTTTAAGATCAGTGGGTAGCATAATGATTAGTGGCTCGGAAAGAAATGACCGAAGCGCCGAGTTCGAATGCCAATCGAGTTTCATTACATTCACTTTCGTGCAAGTACCTTTGGACAAATTATCTTCTCCACTCCTAACTGTGGTTTAAATAGTAGGACAGACTAACCTCTTCACTCTTGGTTGGCAACAAGTCTAAGAGAAAGAAAACTCTGCATTTAAAACCGGTTGGGCATTGGCTTAGTAACTCCATCCCGTAACAACCTACTTGATATGGAAACCAAAGGAGAGTCTACGGGACTTGATCGAGTGATGTCGCTATTTTAACTCTCTGATTTATTGATTTCTTTTTCTTCACGGCTTATCATCCCTATACGTTATTTAAAGCCCGAAAATATTTTAGACTGTAAGTATTTCTTGGAGATGATAATGATTTACTGACACAAGTTCTACTAATTAACCCATAGCTGAGAGGAGAAGAGGTGAAATCAAAGCTTTCCCAAGGCTATTTGCGCGTGACTAAATATAACGAATCCGACTGGATTGGAACTCGACTCTCTCCGATCTTCAATTCATTACACCACCTGCACATCCAAGCTTACAGCACTTGGTATTAGCAAGCGATCAACCATCCAGGTACTGACTAGGCTCAACATTGCTTAACTTCGGTGACCGTATGAGAACTGGTGTTTCTACGTAATCAGGCTGTGCATTTGTTTACAATACCTTGTGTTCCTAAGTAGTTACCTACCTAAGTAATGATTAGGTTCAACATTGCTTGATACACTTACTACAGGTGATAGGATTCAGTTGCAATCAATATGTTTGGTGAGTGAACACCAAGCAGTATTTTTAAAATGGTTTCCTCATGAATTTTAAAGCATTTATTAAATTTAGCTTAATCAAACACAACGCTTTAAGTGTGGACCAACCAGTGAAGAATGATTCTACGACAATATTAATAATCTGTGAGATTAATTTGTTTATCGGAAGCCCACATTAATCATGACACCAACCTGAAGCGATAATGCATGTGACCTTTCGAGATATCATGCAGAAATGTATAACTGGGGTTAGCTTTTAAAATTCAAGCGTTACCTACCTGGGGTTTGCAATATAAATGACACTGAATGTCGCAAAGTCGTTTTTCAAGTTGTAAGGAGCCACTTCCTGTACTGATGAAGCATGAAAAGCCTACACAGTAACAGATGAAGATGTTGGAGAGATGTTTCCAGATATCCATAAAAATGTGTGAGGAAAAAGCATTATTCAGAACAGAGTATAAAGAACTCATCATTCAAATGAGCTGAGATAACAAAACTGAACAACTCGTAAGCAACTGCTTGACAAATAGTTAAATGTCACATGTTAAATTCCCATATGTCTACTTACATTGATTATCTCTCATACCTCTTGAAAAAGAGTAAAATAAGAACTGATAGATAACTGACAAATGATAGAAATAAGTGAAAACATGTGAAACGATAAAATGAAATCAAGGTTGCAAATTTGAAAGGTTACAAAGATGTAAGGAGATGGAAAACAGACGCCATTTTGAAAGAATCGGAGAAACACCGTGACACTCTGAATCTTGCGATAGATGTCTGTTGTAGCATACCTTTGACGATAATTGGTATGTCCCAATTAGCATAAATACAGTAGTAAATACGGTTTGTTGGTCAGTAGTTGGAGATTCGTCTCCAGCTGTGCTTGTCAAACTCTCTGCCTCCGGACAGAGAGGATCCCAAGACGAGACTATGCCGAACGTAGAGACTCGTCTCGGGAAACATCTACTCAATCCCGTCTTATACGGGGGTCTACAATGAATTTTTAGCCGAGCTTATGGGCTCCGATACCCCACATTAAATTCGACCTTGTGCCACATCTGACCGCGTGGGGCAGTTGGTAGATATCCTACAGTTGGAGATTCATTATGGAATTCATTTGAGTCACTTCTAGCAGTTGACTACTTCTTCTAGGCGCCGCTGGCGAATCTTATATGTATTGTTCTTGTCCTAAATATTATCGTTCATTACTAACTTCCGTTTGATTATTATATTCAGTAACCTTCCCTGGGTTACAACAATATCTAAAGAAAAAGTATAAACACAACTTGCATGGCTCAAATATTTTCTATCTTATTGTTAGTTACCTGTTACAAGTATATTAAGTCCTTTATTTCATTCCTTCAAGCGGCAGGTGTTTTGTTAATAATCACATTCCTAGTATAACTCCTCACCCAAAACGAGATACGTTATGTTGAGGAATTGAATCAACCCACAACAATGAAAAAGGCGAGAAAAGTATTTAAATATTTTTATTTTAGTATTTTTACAACTAAATCTTTCTTAGCGCGTAGGAGTGCTAATGTTCATTGTTTGCAGTCATTTGTTAAGATGAAAAAAATGTGATTTCTTCGCGTGTATGTGTGAAAAAAAAGAAGCAAGGGAATAAGTGAAGAAGAAAGTGCAGGTTTCACGTAGCTTGATGAGGATGAGTGTAAGTGTCACGTAACTTGGTGAGAATGACGGGTAAATGAGTAAGGAAATTTCTTTTAAACCGCGCTGTCGCTAACAGATGTCATATGTTGCCGTCTATCTCCTTACTGACTTCTTGGTCTAGAATCTTTGCTTATATACCCTTCAAATGGATCACGAAGCATATTTTTTATTATTATTATTGTCGGTAGGAACTCGACCCGTTGGCTGAAAAATGTTAAATATCTATTTTCAAAGAATTAATTTATTAATCGGAAGTATGCGCGAAACTATTTTTTGTCATTTGACTGTCTTGCTGTTTATTTCTCCGCTCCACACATACTTGTCACAAGTTTAGAATACAAGATAAATATTTGGAAATTTTGGATAGGAAGAAAGTGGAATAAATGTTTAAATATGCGTTTTTTCTTTGCTGCAGTATTTATCCAAACGCCCACCTGAAAAAATATGGGAGAAGAAGCAGAACAGGGCAAAATAATATGAGACCGGACAATATAACAAAAGACAAGGCAAAGCAAAGCAACTATAAGACAGAAAACAAAGTAAAAATAACAAAATAGAAATAGGGTTCACAGACAAAAGGTATACAGTCATTTTTTTTTTTTTTTTTGAGAACTATTTGTGCAGCCTTGATGTTGCTTGGCAAAACAATAGAATTGGACCTTACTATCCATATATAAACACTTTTCTCTGTGGTTACTCACTTGGAAGTAAAATGACATTAAAGGTGCTTGGATATTGTGTGGCTGATTCATGCACTATGGTCAAACGTATAAAACAACAAAGCCTCACAAAAACTATTTTGCAAAACATCTCAGTTTTGTAAGCTCACCTACAACTTAGAATTTGGTTGAATAAACAGGTATGTTTAAATGGAACTGACAAGATTCTCAAAGACTTCAACAATAATAAGAATAAAGGACATGGCAACAAGACAAGACAATTTAATGAAAGGCAAAGCAGCTATAGGACAGTAACAAACTAGAAAAAGGGATACAGTCAAGTGGTTATGACCTTCAATGTAAGAAAGAATAAAAGACCGAGAATTGTTCATTTTTTGTTATTTTGAAAGAGATGGCGGCATACATCTGTAGGATTTGTCTATAAAGTTGAGAAGTTGGATTTTTAGACGTCATTCCTCGAAAGTGAAATAATGTTTAAAGTATAATTTCCACACATCTTGGACCAGAGACTAAAAATAGTCAAGTCCAGTCGAGGACGCAACTCAAAAAAGAGGTAATCTCTTGAAAAACAGAGCCCCTGGTACCAGTGTTTTCGACTTTTTCTCTTTTTAAAATTTTTGAAAACAGAAGATGTTTTAAATCTGGTTTGGTTTTTTTACGGCATATTAGTCTCAGTGGGTTATTTAATGCCGACATGATTTTTATTGCTGGTAATATTTTTTCAAAAATATATTTTTAGTAATAATTTTTTCTTCAAAAATTTATTGCTAGTATTTTTTTTACAAAACCGTATTGCTGGTATTAAAACCTATTTTTACACTTTCATAATGTTTTGACCCCATTTTGTGGGTTAACTATTTGTCCATAGCTGGGACCATAACAGGTGCTACCTCCCTGGATTAGGGTGGACCAAGGACCAACAGCAACTAAGAGGTGATTCCACGCTCCTCAAAGCCTCCATTCATTTCTTTTGAAAATGTTGAACTTTTTCATTCTGCTGCAAACTGGTGACCAACAGCAACATCGTCCAATACAAATTGTAAAACCCACTCGCCACAAACTCAGAAGACCTGACAATATGACTTTGACACATACATATATATGAGGTTGAGTCATAAGTAATTTCCGTTTTGGGGGAAACCAATTATAATGACGAATGTATCATCTTAACTAACCGTCCCTTAAATATATCATTATAGATTATGAAAACTTTATTTATTTATGCAAAAATATATCGAAACTGGACTTATTTCGGAATACTCTACGGTAAATTTACATCCAGAAACATACAGCCTACCTCCATTCGTTAGAAAATTACTACTAATACAATATGGAATAATTGTATGAACACAGCACATTTACGGTATTTACGTTGTTTTCATATATTTTTATGGTGTTGGGTTTTGTACCGACGCAAATATTTTCAATATGACCGTCAACTTCCTCACTTCTAAGCTGAGTTATGATTTTGGCGCGCTTCAAATGAGACCATGCTACCTCCTACCCTAGTAATATATCTACTCTTTACACCATGACATGTAACACGATATAGTATGCCCCGTCTCTTCAGTTCACCTGGGACAGCTACCTATTAGCATCAGGCATAATTTGGTGATATTTAATCCAAATATTATTTTCACCTTTATTCTGACGCTCTCAAAGTATTTCATTGCTATTTTCCTGCAGGATATTTAATCAAAACATAATAAAATTTCGCTAAAACAAGGAAAAGAGTACTAAACTGCTACATGATATCTGTCCTCCTGTATGGCAGTGAGTGCTGGACGGTCTCCTCAAAGATGAAGAGGAGACTTGATGCAATGTGGTTCTACAGAAGGATGCTGAGGATAGCATAAACCGAACATGTGAGCAACGACGAAGTTTTAGTGAAAATGGAAACAAAAAGAAAACTATTACTTAACATCAAGAAGAAACAGTTGAGGTTTCTGTGGTACGTAATGTGGAAGGAGGACTTCGAAAAACTGATACTCACAGAACAGATTGAAAAAGCTACAACGTAAAGAAAGTTGTGGAGAGCCAATATCGCCAAGGTTCTGATGAGATACGGTACATAAAGAAGTATGAGGAGAATTCTACCATGGTAGCATTTCACAAAATTAAATCAGTATTGTTCCATGGAAAAACCCAACACCATATTGTTCTATGCAGTTAAATTGTTTCATATTTCATGTTTCAGGCAAGAAGTTGGGCTTGGCAGTTGACGCCTCTTCTACTGGTGCAGAAGATCGACGCCCAGTGTAAACCTTTTTTTTTTCATTAGAAAAAGTCCCTGCAGACACCATGACCCGTAGAATTAATGCTTTTCTGTTAAAGACACATACACGTAATAAAGGTCATCTGTGAAAGAGTAGACAAATAACCAACAACTCCAGAAGCTTCATCAGGACAATTCAACATCTTGATATTTGCGAAGACACGTGTCTCGATCACTGATTTTGAAATAGTATGCGACTTAGTGTTGCAAAGATCATTCAAGATCTTGAAGAGACGTTA